GGTATCTAGGTTGGTTCCATAGTTTAGCTATTGTGAATTGAGCTGCTATAAACATTGATGTGACTGCTTCATAGTAGTGTGCTGATTTTAAGTCCTTTGGATATACCTTTATTTATTTAGTTTTAATATTTTTTTTAGTTGTCAATGGACCTCTATTTTATTTATTTATATGCTGTGCTGAGGATAAAACCCAGTGCCTCATACATGCTAGGCTGGGGCTTAACCACCCAGCCCCAGGATTTTTTTATGTTTCCAAGGTCCCTCCCTCTCTCTGTTCTTGTCTCTTGTTGTCTAAACACTTGTTGCTGCTTTATCTCCTGAGCATTCACTGATGACTCCCAACTTTCTCTCTTGTCCAGGTATTCAACAATTATTCGTTGAATGAAGAAATGACGTGGCTCCTTTACTTCTTTCCTCACTTCATCTCCTTCATCCTCTACTTGATCCTTATACTCCAGCCCTACTGGGTTATTTACAGTTGCTGTACTTGGATATAACCTGCTAACTTGGCCTGAGGACACTTCTTCTCATGTACCCATGAATTGCTTGCTTTTCAGATTAGTCTCGCATGATCCGTCCAGATCTGCTTAGTTGCTTCTAGTTCTAGTTCTGCTTCGGACAGATCACACTGGTTTCCAGACACTGCATGTCAGGCCAAGCTAGGTGTGAAAATACAGAGCTGCCTGAGATGTGGTCCCTGCGACCAAGGAATGGATTTTGTAGAGGAAAAAGAGAGGAGGAAATAGCTGCTACAAGAGAGTCACAGGAGCAGGTGAATTGAGACAAGATTTGTTCATTCAACAAATAGAGGCTTTCCTGTGAGTCAGGCACTTTTTAGGCGAGGGACTAGAATGATGAATTAAGTAGATAACAATTGATTGATCACAGAGAGCTTACCTTCCAGCGGGAGGAGCCAGGCACTAAAAAGATCAATGAGTAAAAGAGAGAAGAAATTGTTGAGGGAGCAAATCACATGGAACAAAAAGGGTTTCAGGCACGGGTGACCGCAGATGCAAAGACTCTGGTGCAAAATACAAGTTACCGTGGTGAAGAGTTTCAAAGAGGCCTGGAGAATCCAGGAGAACTTTATAGAGAATCTAATATATGAGTTGGACTTTTGAGAACGTGGAGGGTTTTGATAGAATAGTCATACCAGGCAGAAGAATTATAACAGCAACAAAAATCTCAAGAGGTGAAACCGGCTAATATATTTGGTTGTTTTTTTTTACTGGGAATTGAACTCGGGGCACTTAGCCATTAAGCTGAACCTTCTGCCCCTTTCATTTTTTACTTTGATACAGTGTCTCACTAAGTTGCTTAGGGCCTTGCTAAATTGCTGAGGCTAGTCTTGAACTTGTGATACTCCTGCTTCAGCCTGCCAGATTGCTGGGATTACAGGCATGCAACAACATATCTGGCAGGGGCTGGTATATTTGAGAGCTGACTGGTACTGAGTGTGCAGATCTGAATTCAGGGTATGTGGAGATGAACTTTAAGGAGTAAGGAAGTAAAAAGGAAATGGAGGGATCAGGATGAGGATCCATGTCTCCTATTTCAGGGTCTGGTGATGCCACAAGACACCAGATGAACCAAGAGAAACCCCTCCCCTCATTAACTTGGATTTTCAAATCACCTGACAGGAAGTTGATTTGCAATTCCTGGGGGTTACTTTTCATGGCTACAGAGGGGAGGTAACATGTAACGTAGCTTATCCTTATTGTCTATCAGGAGAAGGTTAAAACTGTACTGTCACCCATCAAATGGAAAGAGAGACTGACAATATTAAGTGACAATATATACTGACAAGGTAGAGCAACTAAAACCCACATACTTTGCTGGTGAAGTGTAATTGGTATAAACACTTTGGAAGACACTTTATTAGTTCTATCAATATTGAGTATGTGTATTGTCTATGACCCAGCAATTCCATTGCTAGGTATATACTGAGCAGATTTTTTTTTTTTTTTGTACCAGAGATTGAATTCAGGGGCACTTGACCACTGAGCCCCATCCCCAGCCCTATTTTGTATTTTGTTTAGAGACAGGGTCTCCCTGAGTTGCTTAGGGCCTTGCTTTTGCACAGATTGGCTTTGAACTTGCCATGCTCCTACCTCAGTCTCCTGAGCCACTGTAATTACAGACTTGTCATCACAGTGGCTGGAACAGAAATGTTTATATATATATATATATGTTCACTATTGTTGATTTAGATATGAGGTCTCCCCCCAAAACTCACGAGACAAGGCAAGAAAAAAAAATTTAGAGGTGAAACAACCAGGTTCAGATTGTTCCAGAGTCTTAATCTAATCAATACATGGAATGGTTTAACCAGATGGTAATGGTAGACAGGTAGGGTGTAGCTGGAGGAGGTAGATCCCTGGGGTATGTTTTGGGGGTATGTATTTTGTTCCTGGTGAGCAGTTTTCTCTGCTTCCTGGTGGGCACATTCAGTCTATGACTGAGACCTCTGAAACTGTGTGCCAAATAAACTTTTCCCCTTCTAAATGTTCTTGTCAGGTCTTTTGGTCATAGTGACAAAAAGGCTAATACAAAAAATACTACGTGACCTAGAGTGTTCATAGGAGTACTTGGCACTACCTTAATAATTACTAATGAAGGAGTGGATAAATTATGATTTATGCATACCACAGGATATTTAATAGTAAGAATGAATGCAGGAAAAGCAATATGTAGATGATTCTCTCACACACATAATTCTGAGTAAAAGAAGCCAAAGAGGAAGCAGGTCATGAGTTGGTATACACCTATAACCCCATTACTTGGGAGACTGAGGCAAGAGGATCATAAATTCAAGGCCAGCCTTGGCAACTTAGTGAGATCCTGTCTCAAAACAAAAATTTAAAAAGGCTGGGGATGTAGCTTATTGGTAGAGCACTCATGCATGAAGCCCTGGATTTAATCTCTAGTACCCAAACAGACAAAAATCCAAAAAAGTAAAAAAAAAAAAAAAAAAAAAAAAAAAAAAGATCAAGCCAAAAAACCGTTGAAGTAATTAAATTTAAAAAGGCTGGGGATGTAGCTTATTGGTAGAGCACTCATGCATGAAGCCCTGGATTTAATCTCTAGTACCCAAACAGACCAAAATCCAAAAAAAAAAAAAAAAAAAAAAAAAAAAAAGAGAGAGAGAGAAAGCCAGACATAAACCCAATAAAATTAAATCTAGAAGTTAGGATAGTGCTACCCTTTGGAGGATAGTGACTGGATAGAGCACAAGAAGACTGATTGGAGAATCAAATTTTCAGTTATAAGTGAATCCAGCCCACTCTACCTAACAAGGCTGGGCACTCCCAAGCAGTCCTAAGTGTTCAAACCATGAGTGGAGAGAGTCATGGAACATTTTAGTGAGGTGTCTTGGATCCTTCAGCCCCAATACCATGTGGGACAGAGATGAGCCATTCTTGATGGGCCTGCATGAATTTCTACAGAATATGTTTTTAAAAAACAGTACTTGTTTTTTTATTTTTTTTAAGTTTTTGTAATTTAATTTAATTTTTTTAAAGACTGTTTAAAGAGAGAGAATTTTTTAGTTCTCGGGGGACACAACATCTTTGTATGTGGTGCTGAGGATCGAACCCGGGCCGCACGCATGCCAGGCGAGCGCGCTACCGCTTAAGCCACATCCCCAGCCCCTGAGCCACATCCCCAGCCCCAACAGTACTTGTTTTAAATAATTTTTTCAATATAGCAATGTATTAACTGGAACAGTTTTACTCATTGAGGGGCTACTGAGAACAGGGACCAAATCTTTCTTTGATTTGGGGTGTTAAAAATACTTAATTTTAATATATGGTGACATAAGAATATCATATGCTGAAATATGAATAAACATTCTATTTTAGTCTCTGAATAAACCAACACATACCGTGAAGCTTCTTACCAATGTAAGGTTAACACAAATTATTTGTTAAATTACTTTGATAATTCCTAAATAATTTGTTAGGAACTTCAAAACTGTTGGGTSATCATTTGTCTGACGTGTCTCTCATTCATTAAATCGGACTTTTTCTGAAAAATGAATGATCTAATCATAGAGAATGGGGGTTAGCTCAGTGATAGCACATGTACTTAGCAAGTATAAGGCCCTGGGGTCAGCAGTCCTCTGCACCACCAATCACCAAAAAAAAAAAAAAAAAAAAGAAATTACATCAAATAATTCTCATGATTTTCCATTAAATTTGAAGTCATGAAGTGGCCTGTATGTTTAATATATAGAGAATGTCTCTTTAGAAAACACACACATACACCCATATATATAATTTATTGGAATAAATGCTTTAAGTAGTAGCTAAAGTTCATAAATTTTTGTTCATCTGCAATCCATGGGGTTTCTAAAACTTCATTTGTATGAGTTGCCGAGTTTAACAAATGGCAAGATGTTGGTTTTATTTATTTATTTATTTTTGTGGTAATTTTCACTTTTGCCATTAAATAACAGGTTTATTTTTATGTAATAAACAACATTTTCTTAGAATTGTTACTATGTGCCTGGCATAGTGGTGCATACCTGTAAGGCCAGCAACTTTGGAAGTTGATATAGGAGGATTTCCAGTTTGAGGTCAGCTTGTAACTTAGTGAGACCCTGTTCCAAAATTTTTAAAAAGAGGTGGGAATGTAGCCCATTTTGATATAATAGAATTATGAAAAATCCATTGATATAATTCAAATCCTTGTAACTAACCTTTAGGAAACATCATTTGTCAAATTTTGGTGCACCATCAAAGAATATCCATAATACCTGAATAGGCTGTATACTTATAGCTTTTCCTTCTACATATCTGTGAGGCCAGATTTCCTTTTTTCTTTTCTTTTGTATTCTTTGGTGCTGGGTATCAAACCCAGTGGTAGAGTGCATCTGAGTTCAATCCCCAGTACCTCCCCTCTACACACACAATAAATAATAATAGAAATAAAGAGCAAAGAAAAGGAGATTTTTAAAAAGGATAGACACTTTGTTGCTTTCGCTTTTTTTTCCAATTTTTTGGAATTGTTGGGAATAGAACCCAGGGTCTCCTGCATACTAGGCAAGTGCTCTACCACTGAGCTACATTTCCTGCTTAGTTTGTTTCATTTCTTTTTTTTTTTTTAATTTTAATATTTTATTTTTTAGTTCTCTGTGGACACAACATCTTTGTTGGTATGTGGTGCTGAGGATTGAACCCGGGCCGCACGCATGCAAGGCGAGCGCGCTACCGCTTGAGCCACATCCCCAGCCCAAAGTTTGTTTCATTTCTAATAGCATTTACATTTGTCTTCATTTCTTCTAGTCCTTTTTCTTAGTTTTTAATTACTTTTTTCATTTGCTTAATTAATCCAGTTCTCAAATTTCTTAGTTTCAAGACTTCATGATATATTAAATGTATTAAAATCAAAACTGAAAAATTTAAAACACATTCATTTATTTAGTGATTACAGTAAGGCCATTATAAATAAACACACAATTAAAAATCTGTCCTTTCCAAAATCTAATTTAATAAGAAAAGTGACATTGTTTGTTTTTGCAAATCTCTAATGTCTGGCTTTGACAGAAGACAGCTGGATTCTTCGGCTTTTATGTTTTTTGTTTTGTTTTTGCATTAAATCTGTTGTGATGTACTGTTTTAATTGCAGACAGTCTAGGGCCTGGGGATGTAATTCAGTGATAAGAGTTCTTGCCTGATGAGTGTGAGGCCTTGGGTTTGAAACCCAGCACCAAAGAATAAAAAATAAAATAAGAAAAAGGAAATCTGGTCTCACAGATATGTAGTAGGAAAAGCTATAATTACACAGCCTATTCAGGTATTATGGATATTCTTTGATGGTACACCAAAATTTGACAAACCATTGTTTCCTAAAGGTTAGTTACAAGGATTTGAATTATATCAATGGATGTTTCATATTCCATTATATCAAAATCTATTGGTAGATCTTGCCCTTTGAATGGAACTTTTACCTTCATGTGGTTTGGTACAACATGCATTAGTCATTTGGAAAATACTGGTTCTTTTGGCTTAGAACTTTCAAATGTTGAGACATTTTACAATATTAAAAATTAAATTTGTTAACCAGATCTCATCAGAAATAGCTTTAAGTATTGGGGAGCTATCAACTTACAGTGAGGAACTACTGTTATCCAAAATCAGTTTTTGCTCAACAACTCAAATTTTATCCTCAGCAATGTCAGTGTTTATGCAGAAGCACTTTATGTGGACTTCCCATTTTGTCACACATGATACTAAAAAAACATGTACTTGGGGCTGGGATTGTGACTCAGCGATAGAGCGCTCGCCTAGCACGGGCAGGACCTGGGTTCGATTCTAATCACCACATAAAAATAAAGGCATTGTGTTGTATCCATCTACAAAAAAGATATTCTCTCTCAAAAACAAAAAAGAAAAAACCACATAAAACAAAACAAAACAAAAAAACCAAACGTACTCAAGGGTTAAGATTTCACAAAACCAGTAATTCTTATTGATGCACCAAGAACATTGTTATGGGAAGTTGGCTTTCCCCCTCCTGGAGAGTGCATGTTGTTGAAGAATAAAGTAATGACAGGTACAGTTTAGTGTCTCTTCCTGTTGCCAGAAATTTCACCCATCAGTTTTGCATCTTTAGTGCAAATATTCATACAGGGACAAAAACAAACCATCTAGTGTTAGTATAAAATTAATTTTGGCTTTGCAGACTTCCAGAATGGGTCCCAGGGGCACTTGAGCACCCATAAATGATGGCTTGTGAATTGCTGGACTAATCCAAGAGGAACATCTCAAAATTAGCCTCTGGCTAGAGTAGATAGGGTTTTTCAGCCCCCAATTGTAGGAAGGCTTAGTTCTGAGTTTGGGTAGATGAGCCTAGAAAGGCCATTAACTTGGCCTGCTTCATTTAGAGCAAACTTTTTTCAACCTAGCATTTCCTAGGAGAAACCCAGCTCTTTCCTGGTAGAGCTCATTCCCATCTGGTGATGGAGATAGACCATGATTAAAAATTCTTGTGTGCGTACCCAAGATTGAACCCAGGGGTGGTTAACTACTGAGCCACATCTCCACTATTTATTTTGAGACAGGGTCTTGCTAAGTTGCTGAAGCTGGCTTTGAAATTGTTATCCTTCTGCCTCAGTTTCCCAAGTTGCTGGGATTACAGGCATGCACCACATCACACCCGGCCTGAATCAACTCAATGGTTCAAAACTGGACACTGTGTTAGGGCAGCACAGGGGGACTCAACTGAATTGGATATCAGGAAAGACTTTTTGGAAGGAGGAAGCAAAAGAGGCGGTGACAAAGACTTTGGAGATGAAAAGGACTTCTTTAGACAGTGTGGGGAAAGACATTTTAGATTGTGGGCATTGCTTGAGCAAAGGCAGCAGCTCTGAAAACCAAAAATGAATTGAAGATTCATAGTTTGAGATTAGGTCTGTCAATATCTTCAATGCTCAATAAGGAATCTGGACTTAGCAAATAATGTTATGCAAACAGTTGATGTTATATTTAAGGTAAATCCCCATTTCCTTAATTTTTGAGCTAGGCATGATGGTATGTGCTTGTAGTTCCAACTACTGGGAAGGCTGAGGCAGGAGGATTGCTTGAGCCAAGGAGTTCAAGACCAGCCCAGGCAACATAGCAAGATCCAATTTCAAAAGAAAAAGAATTTTTTTTAAAATTATGATATTCATCTGTGTATTCATACAGGAATGTTGATTAAATAGTCAGATGTCTATTTATAATAGCTAATTTATTTACTTACACATGCTTATTTAAAATAACAGTATATACAATAATACAGTAATACAAAATATTGCTTTTTTCCCATTCTCATGTTTCAAGTAACAATTTTTATTCAAATTCTCTACAAGCATCTTGTGTTTCAAAGTCTTTAGATCTATAGCCAGAGTTTTTTGAAGCACACCTCCATCCCTTGTGTCTTAAGTTGTTTGAGTAGCAGCACTTTTTAAAACATGCCTTTGACACTCACTGGAAAGTATGATCCAAGTCATCACCTTAGGACCATTCTTCCTCACACCCAATTATCATGTAGGTCTATGTTTGTAAACCTTAGAACCACTTGCTTATTGCTTTTGAAATAGCTCTTTGAAAGGCTGGTTTGAAAAATCTAACTCCTGTAATAGTGAGGGAACACTTTCCTGGAATAGTCAAGTTTTCTCCTTCTATTTAATCCATTCCAATAGGAGGAAACTATAAAAACTATACAAACTTGCCTTGCTTGAGGCTGGTATGGGCTAAAATGTGAGGAGCAGCCAGGCGTAGAACAGTTGCAGGGAATGACAAGGATGGTTACATGGGTGACTAAGGAATGAAATAGCAAGAGGTTGTTGGGCAGATCAACATCATGAACAGTGATGTTTCCTGGGATGGCCTGGGGTAGGAGTGAAAAAAGCTAGAAGTGGTATATCAAAGACTTGGAGATTGGAGTCAGGAGTGGACTGGAGCCAAGCAAACAGTGGAGATCAGAGGGCAGTCTTCCCAGGTGGCAAGGGTTTAAATGAGGATATGGAGCAAGGATTTGGCAAGGAGCTTATGGAGGATGCTGGTAAGGAATCCTGGTCCAGTCATGTGGTTGGGAGTGACCAGCACACCATGACTATTAAGAAATGATTTCTCTTCTTTTTCTGCAGTGCGGAGGATGGAACTCAGGGCCTCACACACAAGCTGAGCTACATCCCCAAGCCAAGAAATAGTTATCTTGAGGAAAGAGATGTGCAGAATGGGTAGGTCCTAGAGAAAKATTGAGATGGTCAAGAAGTTTGTGAATCACAAAAGGAGAAGGTATCACACCAAAATTGCCCCCAACAAGTCCCTACTGTCTCTCACAGAACTCATCAGACTGAATTGTCTCTATTCATTTTCTAGACTGCAGGACAGATGCTGGGTCTGCCCTGGATAGCACTGTATCTATGGCAACTAGAACAGGCATATAACAGGCTCTCAGGAAATAAATGTTGGAGGAAGAAATGGAGAAGAAAGAGAAGATCAAAGAATGAGGTACCTGTATCCTATGGAACTTAGGAAGGTGGGCAGCAAAGGAGATGGGCCAGGAAAGGTATGGTCAGGACCTCAGAGGGCAGCTGGCATCAAAAACCTACAAGATAAACTACAGGAAATGGATCAGACAGGATTTGTTCAAAAGTTTCCACGGGGACCTCGAGTAGCATCCAGATAGCCCCAAACCACAGCCTGAAGGAATATGTTAGGGTTCCCAGCAAAGGCACTGAAGCTGGAGAACTGAAAACTGATGACTATGGGGGTGGAACTGGTCTGTGGCCTCTTCTAACCCTTACTCTTGCATGAGACAAGACTTCAGGGTCTCAGACATGTTCAGGTTCCTAGGGACTGAGAAATGGGGCTAGTGTTTAGGTGGTGGTAGTGTTCAGCTCTGATAAACATCTGTATGCTAATAAAGGACTTTTGCCTGTTTGAGTGAGTCATGAATGATAGGTCTCAAATTACATTTTATATAGCATGGCATTTCAAATAAAAGGAATGAAAACACTCGTTTCTCAATTTGCAGCAAAGCAACAGTATCATCATCTAGGAATCTGATAAAATGCAAATTCTTAGGCTCCACCCCAGATCTACTAAATCAGAAATTGGATGTTAGGCCCAGAAACCTGTTTCAAAACATCTTTTCAAGGGATCCAGACATGTGAAAGTTTAAGAACTACTGCTTTAAGGTAATAAATTTTTCTTAAGTCTTTGACATCTGCTACTCCATGGTGAATATTGATAATGGGGAAAACAAAAGAAGGAAGAGCAAACATCTATTTTTTGCTAGGCATAGCAGTGTTAAGAGGCAGTCTCACAGCTTGGGTGTGAGATTCTGAAAAATTCCTTTACCTCAAAACCTTCAGTCTCCTCATTTATAAGAAAGGAAAAAATAAGCACTTACCTTTCAAAATTGTCATAAGAGTCAGATGAGATAGTGCTTGGCCTATGGTAAGTACTCAATTATGCTGTTTATTATTATCATTAAAGTAGAACTTTCAAGGAGCTCATCACTTTATGGACTTAGTTCAGTAGCTAGGCAGGTTTTCCCAAGGTCATGATTTTATATTATA